ATCTGAAATCCTTTATGGATTTTGTTCAGTTGGTCAAGAGACTAAGCTTAGTCTCAAAGAAACAGTGATCACTTCAGTAGTGAATTCCTCAAAAGAACACTTATATACAAGAATGTTAACACGTACACATTTGAACTTTACTGCCTATTTAGCACATTCATCTTGTAGGCATTTGTAAAAGTCATTGCTCATCTTATCAACATGTTTTCTTTTGAAACTTTCGAACATTAATTCATCAGCATTTATCAGGAAAATTTTATCACTGATATTTGTGGATATTGGAGCATAAGGATTCATCTGCTCTGGATCTTAAATCCAGGTTGCATAAGACATCCATTTGTCCTGTTTGACAGGTGACTGAGGGCACACTATCTGGACCTGCACCTTGCTCCTGGAATTCTAAAATGTTAGACTGGTAGTCACGAGACTTGCCATCTTCGGCTGCTCTCAGTCCATGTCGGACTCCATGCATTATGCTTACGATTGTTGCCAAAATACACATTTTGAAGGTATGGAATTCACTGTCCCCCCCTTCCCTCCAAATATGGATAGCTGACATGGTCTCAGTCATAAAAATGGAAAGAGTAAGGTTTTTGAGGGACAAAAAAAAAAATCTGAGATCCATTCCTTGCCCAACTCGACAAAAAAATAATTCACTTGTGTTAAAAATATACCTGTTTTGCGATATGTACAGTATGTTTCCCATGTTTATATTAAAGTCTGTCAACTGCCTGTGTTTTATAGTTAAAATAAAGTATTTATAAAAATAAAACTAGAAATGAAAACCAGGCCTCTGACTCCCAAATCGTCTCCCTTGCCAACATATTCTGCATATTAACATACAGAACCTCTTTACAGATTAGGTCCAAAGTGACTGCTGTTGTGATGACAGTAAAGAGTCAGAGAATATCAGTAAAAAAAGATGATTATTTTATTTAATAATAAGAAATCCTTTATTATATGACCAACATCTGCTCCCCGGGCGCTGACAACGGCAGCCCACCGCTCCAGTATGTGTGTACATGGCATCTGTCTATGTGTGTTTCTATTCACGTGCGTGTTTTGACAGGTGCCAACTGGATGGGTTAAATGCAGAGAACAATTTCATGTATGCATGTAAAAGTGTAAAACATGACAATAAAGTAAATCTTCTTCTTCTTTTTACAATGGGGAAATTTGCAATATTACAGCCCCAAAAACACATCAGCAGTAATAAAGAAAAATATGAATGAATTAAACTAATAAATACAGTGAACAGAAATATACTATGTGAGAGAATATGTACAGTTAATGGATTGCACATGAACTGTTTTATATTGCACAGACAGATGAATATGGCACAGTGAATATTGCACAGTTGAGAAGTGTAAATGGTAAAGTATTTATATAGCGCTTTTCTAGTCTTGAAGGCCACTCAAAGCGCTTTACACTACAGTTTTCCATTCACCCATTCACACATGCATTCATACAGTGCTTCTATAGCTAGCACTTTTTTTGATGTTCTATTGGGCAGTTTTGGGGTTCAGTATCTTGCCCAAGGACACTTTGGCATGCAGATGGGAAGACTGGGGATTGAACTTCCGACCTTCTGGTTGGAGGACYACCGCTCTACCCCCTCAGCCACAGCCACCCCAAGTGTATAAGTGCAGTCCATAATGGTGTTGAATGTAGTCTTTGCAAGGAGCAGAGCTGGTTGAACACTCTGAAGAAATGACCTGCGATATCTCTCCTTCAGACACAGGGAAGTCAGTCTGTCGCTGAAGGAGCTGCCCAGTGCTGTTATGGTCTGGACTGGTTTTCCATTAGAGAAGACAGCTTCGCCATCATCCTCCTCTGTCCCACTACCCCCACTATGTCAAGTGCGTATCCCAGGACTGAGCTAGTCCTCATATTCAGACTATCCAGTCTCTTCCTATCAGCAGTTGAAATGCTGCTGCCTCAGCAAACTACTCTTAAGAAGACAACAGATACCACCAGAGTCATAAAAAGTCGCCAGGAGCGCCCCCTGCACTCCAAAAGATCTCTGGCACCTGATCAGATACAGTCTGCAGTGCTCTGGCTCTTCTTAAATAGTGCATATTGATCCAAAACTTGCTATAATCTCAATTTAGTGACAAAGTCACATCTATGGGCTAACAATATATTCTAATGGGAAAAAAAGAAAAACTTGCCACAGGGACATATCAGTGTGTGTGAAGAGGTGTCTGGGACTGCTCGAACTGTATGTACTGTCAGATCTGTGCAACATGTTTTACCTGCTCTTATATTAATACAATGATCTTCCTCTTTTCATAAGTGAGTGTCTGAGAGATTCCATTATGTGTCTCTAAGGGAGTCCTGCCACAGTTTGTCAATGTTGTCTTTATTTATGAAGCAAATTTATAACAACTTGGTTGACCAAAGTTTGCTGTGACTGTGAATGAGGGGCAGAGGCCACTAGATTGGGACAAATTAAGTGACTTCCATTAGTCGTCCTTTTTCCCCTCCCCCTGTGGGGAAGACTGAGGTGTGGATAGATGAAGCACCAGCAGTCCACACAGGGTGACAGAGATGCCTGCCCACCATAGAACAGCATGCGTCTCTCCAAAAATCACCCTTCCCAGGAGGGCCTGGACACACAAAGCGAAGAGACTTGGTAAATGGAGATAAGGCAATAATCTAAAAGTTTTCACTAAAACCGTATGTATTGTATTATAAGAGAGCCTACCGAGGAGATGAAATTGGACGCAGTGGTAGTGACTGTAGCTCTGGCTGTAGAGGAGCAGTGTCGGAGAGCCTTAGAGAAGAAGGACCACATGACAGTGTTGCAGGTGAACAGCAGAGCTCCACACAGCAGCCGCAGGGGGGCATGGAGCTGGAAACACCAACATGGAAAATAGGACAGCAGAGGTCAGCTACGAATGCTAGACGACATGTGCTGTATTATATGTATGCTATTCTTTTTTTCTACACTTAACCAGTTATAATAACATGATTGATAAAGATAAAGAAAGATAATTCTGTGTCGACTCAAGCCATATACACATGGTGCCAGTCATGCCGACAGGGTTAAAATGAAAAGCAGCAGGGACACTAATAAACTTATGAGTTAAAATTCTCATTATTCACGCTATGAATTTCTCTTCCTCTATTAACAAATCAAAATGTACAGAGGAAAACAAAAGAAGAAATGTCCATAATGAGTGACTGAAATAAAACATAACAAGCAAGTTATTACTATTATGTTTATTGGAGGTTTTTACGAAGAACACAAACAAATCTTGTTGTTCAATTCTTTGATGTTTGAAGTTATATTGGCAACTCATCTGTGATGTTAGAAAATGTAGTTATTAAATACTGAATCCTTTATTTAACATCTGAGGAGAAAGCAGGCTGCAGGACCTGAAGACATAGCATGAAAGTATCCTTGCTGATTGGTTAGAAGTTTTTACACAGGCTGTATAGTGTTTCCCTTTATGTGAATCAGGAAGTAAGTAGTGTAACTGGCCCTGGTGTTATTCCTCCAGAGTTACAATGTGCTGTGATGGTAACCTTGGTAATGTGAAATTTTCCATAAAGTAGGGGAGTGGAATGAACATCCACAGTAGTTTTATTGTACTGAAAATGGCGGATTAATCTGAGGTAAGGAGATTCTTACATGGAAGCTCTTGGCAACGTTAAGGCCTTCTTGTACCTTGAGCACTTCTGAAAACTTAAGACTTACACTGACCATGGTGCAAACATAAGGACATTTTTAAAAAACGTAATGAGGATGATGGGTCAGCTTGATGGTCCTTGCTAACTTCATGAGTTTATGCTGAATACCATTTCTACAATGTCAAAGTCATCCCTATTCCTTCATCGAATCTAAATAAATAAGTGCAAATGTTGGAATAACAGGCTACAAAGAGAGCAGTGCAGCAAGCTGATTCCATTCTTTAGTTTACCATTCTCATTGACATTGTGAAAACATGCCCAGATACTCACACCACTGCATATTTATATGTATATCCTCAAACAGATGCTACAAATAGATTTAGAAAAGAAAATTACCAACAATGAAGCTCTGAGGCATACAGATAACTGATCAATTATGAATGAATAAAATAACAATAATACAAATGTAACATATAATTTTGTTAAGGCAGTTTGTTTCTTTTCAAGATGAGCAAACATATAGGTAAATTAAATAAAATAAAGGCAAGAAGAGGATGAATAGTCTGTAATGGTCAGTATTTTATATAGCGCTTTTCTAGCCTTGACGACCACTCACAAGGGCTTTGCAGTACAGTTTTGCCCTTCACCCATGCACACATGCATTCATAGAGTGAATCTATGTGCAGCACATTCTCCATCACACATCAATCACAGTCTTTCATAATGTGTAAATACACGTTTATTTCCGCAGTGATAACAGAGGTATGATTTAAGTTGAGAAATATTTATCGTAAGCAAATGATCACAATTAAGGTCATAGAAGTTAACTGCATAGTCAAACATGGTGATTGTAGGCAATACTATAGTATTGTCTACCATGTTTACATAATATTTGGAAACAGTAACTAACAAGATTTAAGGATGGGTCACATAAAGTAAAGATTTGATCTTTTTTACTGTAATCCTAATAAATCTGCATTATTCTACCTCCTCTGGACTCAATTTAATAGCCAATCCTGTCTGTAGGAGCAGTGTTGGATGTTTGGAATCCACTTTTTAAAAAAATACCCCTTTTCTTTTGACAAAAAGTAATTGCAGGTCCTGGGTTGTAACTAAAAGTGTTTTTCGGCCTTCTTTAAATTTATGCGGATGCTTTTCTCCAAAGCGACTTAAAATTAGTGCATTCAACATGTGATGATTGTTATAAGTCTGTTTGTCCTGGGATCATATTCCCCCTCCTGGTGTTTGTTTATTTTTTAAATATATATTTTTGGTTTTTTTTATGAATAGGACAGAGTAAACTGTGATGGGGGGTGACAGAGAGAGTGGGGAGGACATGCATACATGGCTGCAGGTTGGACTCTGGGGGGTTAGGTCCTTGCCTCATTGGGGTGGCAGCTTTACCTGGTGAGCTATACGCCACCGCAATATATTGGACAAATCATAGCTCACCCAATCCTTTTATCTGCTGAAATACCTTTAAAGGGCTATTACGACATATTAAACACAATTTTCACAATTGCCAACAAGTGAGTGCAAATCCTGAGTTTTAACTAAAGGGGTTTTTCTGCTTTAACCTGGCTCTATTTCATTAATGTGGGTTATATTTGACCGATTATAGCCAATCCATCACTTTTTACCTGCCGAAAACCTTTTAGGGACTTATACATATTGAAATGATGTCGAACGTTTTTCTTGCTTTGTCTCTCAAATCTATGACAGCCATGTTGGCATTTTCTGTATATGGTAAAATGGTTTGGTAAATGGTTTGTATTTATATAGTGCTTTTCTAGCCTTGATGACCACTCAAAGCGCTTTACACTACTATATGTGATGTTGACACAAAAACATTTAGTTTTTATGAACTGTGGCTGCACTTTAACATCAATTTGAATAAAGTCATTTTGGGGCTTTCCTAGTTTTACTGGTTTTTCAGTAGGGTTTAACCAGAGCCAGGCCGTACAACGGATGTACATTTAATTACATCATGTTTTTCTTCATTGCTATTGCAGTATCCTTTAGCCTTCTGATATCAATTTAACATGCATAGACTATTCCTTATATCCCCAGTATTCTTCATAATAAAGTACAATGTTGAGCAAGGCACAAAACAAGGAACTGTGTCTTACCCAGTCACAATCTGTTGTTCCACCGTATTTTTCCATCGTTAACTTACACATGTCTCTCGTGTAGTCTGCACCAAGGGAAAGCTTTGCAGACAGGGAGGCAGCCGCACTCAAAAACCCTGCTAACAACGCGCAAACAGACCACGAGAACATACTTGATGTGGGGAGAAGCAGTGTCCCTTTCGAATTGGAGACTATAGCCCCAATTTCTTTCCAGTTTTTCCCCAGTTTTTCGAACAATCATGAAAGTCAACAGTTATCATTTTACAGCAAGCAACCAAGTTACGACAAAACCCATTACTAGAGCCGCGTTCCATTACACTTCCGAGTTGATAGCGTCCCAGTTGCACGACAACCATGTTTAGGTTAGCCAGCTAGCCATTGTTAGCAAAAACAATTCATAATAACGCATTACGCGGTATCCCACGCATACTAACGCTGTAGTAACAGATTGTACTGTATTATGTGTACGACACATTTAATGAAAGAATTATTAACAAACAGTAAAATCTACGGCTATTAATACTGTTGGTATATGGATCTTGGATTTCGTTGAGGTTCTTCCGACCTTCTGAGTCGAAAAACCGATTTGAGGGGGCATTCCAGTTGCCACTTCCGAGTCGAGAATCTGAAATTCCGAGCTCTGAGGTTTACATAATGCGACATAAAGCCCAATTCATTCCTCCGCGTTGGAGCTAAGCCGTAGGCACGCACAGAGGCCGATAATCCATAGTTGCGTGTAGGTTTGTGAGAGTCGCGCTGCGATTACACCGCCTGAACGCTTGTGGCGGTAGTTTCTTCTTCTTCTTGTAGTGTTTTTGGCGGTTGGCAAACCAGCTTATAAATGCATTCCGCCACCTTCTGGAGTGGAGTGTGGATCAGTTGATTACCAATAAACAAACAAAATAAAAAAAGAGCCTGCAATTATTTTATTAAGTCCAGTTTCTCTTGAATAGTTGTTTAGAAGATTATGTATGATCTTTTGTGTCTTTCCTAACACATTTTTAATGTGATATTTTGCTTTTCATCTTT